GAGTTTCTCTTTGTTTCAACATGCTGACTGTTGTGTTTACTATTTGTCTTGCTATTTGTGTTAATTTCATTATGAACTAACTCACTTTGGGTTAGGGTTTTGATGTAATTCGGGTTTCTATGGGTAATCAATAGATTGTTGTTACTTTTACATTCTATTGCATGGATTGTGTGATTGTTATGATTTTTATTGATTTTGATTGTTGAACATGATGAGATTGAGAAATGAATCATGTTGAGCTTCTTGAGTAATCACCATTATTGTATTAAACGCTAGAGATAGGTTTGAGAATCAATGAATTCAGTCTAAGATTCCATTAGCTTAATGAACTTGGATCTATTAATTTTTAAATTGTTGGGTGTGGAAGCTTAATAGGGAAAAGTAGGAATTCATAGCCTAAGAAGGTATGTTTTACAATTTAGGGAATTCGAGTTACAATCCGTGCATGTGAGTGTAGAAGTAGCATAATTCATAGAATTAACCTATAGAGTCCTAATGAAGTCAAAACCCTACCCGTTTTCTTAAATTGATATTACTCTTACTTTAATCTTGCTTTCATTAATTAGCTTTTTAATTACATAGAAAATTTTTCTTTCAATTTAGTTTAGATTCTCCCATAAATCCAAACACTTTTGGTTTCTCCAACTTGAAAACAAATAGGAAAACCAGTGCTTAGCAACCAATCCTCGTGGGAACAATACTCACTCATCACTTTATTACTTTGTGTGACTAGTGAACTTGCTATATTGCATGTTGTACTAACAACTCATCAAGTTTTTGGGGCCGTTGCTGAGGATTGATTTTTGTGTTAACCTTGAAATTTTTTTGAGTTAGCTAGATTGGAGTTTTATTTTTGTTTTAATTGTTTATTAGTTAATTTTTGTTATTCTTTTCTGTTAGCTAGTGATCTCACGTTTTCTCTCATTCTGTGTAGTTTATGCGAAGAGCGAGACGTCGGCCAGTGGTTCCTATAGATACAGAGATTGAAATAACCGCGAGAAGACTTAACAGAGAGAGAAGAGAACAAGAGGCCATAGCTGTTGAAATGGCAGAAAATAGAACATTGAGGGAATTTTTAGTTCCCACGGTTGATGGCAGTGGGTCAAGTATAACTAGACCAGCAGTACAAGCCAACACCTTTGAAATAAAGCCGGCAATCATCCAGATGATCCAATAGTCAGTACAGTTTAAGGGAGATTTGAAGGAAGATCCAAATCTGCACATTGCTTTTAGAGATTTGTGACACCTTCAAGTCAAATGAAGTGTCAGATGACGCCATCAGATTGAGATTGTTCCCTTTTTCATTAAGGGATAAAGCAAAGGGATAGTTAATGGCACTACCACCAAGAACGATCACTACATGGAATGAATTAGCATAGAAGTTCCTGACCAAATTCTTTCCTCTAGCAAAATCTGCGAAGATGAGAAATGATATCACATCGTTCCTCCAAGAAGAGTCTGAAGCATTATATGAGGCTTGGGAAAGATATAAGGAACTACTTAGGAGGTGTCCACACCATGGTTTGCCAGTTTGGATGCAAGTCCATAATGGATTGATGGTTAATGTGCAAACAATGATGGATGCAGCATCGGGAGGAGCATTGCAAAATAAGACACCTAAAGAAGCTCATGAGTTGTTTGAGGTTTTGGCAAGTAACAACTATCAAAGACCTAATGAGAGGACGCAGTCGAATAAATCTATGGGTCTTCATGAAGTTGATGAATGCACGGCTATTTCAGCCTAATTTACAGTACTTTAGAGACAGTTGGGAAGTATGCAGGTAAATTCTATTCAACCACCTTAACTAACTTGTGATTTATGTGCAAGTAATCATGTGAGTAGTGAATGTCAAATGGGGAACACATTTGCTTCAGCTTCTTCATCATCAGAACAGGTTAACTACTTGGTAGGAAATCAGAGGCAACCGAACAATTCGTTCTCTAATACATATAATCCTGGTTGGAGGAATCATCCGAACCTATCTTGGGGCAATCAGAATCAACAGAAATAGCAGAACAATCAATGGAACCAAAGAATGATGCCAAACAACCACGCGGGGGTGAACAATCAACCAGGAGAGCAAAGATTGACAAAATTGGAGGATATGTTCGAAAAGTTTATGCAAGAGACCACAGGTTTCATGAATGAAACGAGGATAGATTTCTGAAACTAATGGACGTTCATTCGAAACTTGGGGGTACAAGTGGGTTAATTGGCCGATAAGCTCAATAAGAGACCACAGGGTTCCCTACCAAGTAACACAGTGACAAACCCACGTGAATAAGCAAATGCAATAACACTACGGAGTGGGACAATCTTAGAAGAGGTGTAACAATCAGGGAAAGAAGGAAGCCTACTAAAAGAAAAGGAAGATTCCGATGAGGAAGTTGATGAAGAGGAAGTTGATGAAAAGGTAATTGCTAAAGAGAAACCAACCAGTCTTAGGGAAGATGAACAAAAGCGGGAAGAAAGGCAAAGGCAAAAGAAGGAGAAATTGCCATTTCCCAAGATACCACCAGAGTTGGCACACCACACCCCTCCTGTGCCTTTTCCTCAGAGACTAAAGAAGAAAAATAAGGATAAGCAGTTTACCAAATTCATTGAAATATTTAAAAAACTGTATAATAACATTCCTTTTGCAGATGCATTGCAACAGATGCCAAACTACGCAAAATTTCTCAAGGAGATTTTATCAAATAGAAGGAAGTTAGAAGATGAGGAAACCGTGATGCTTACGGAGGAGTGCAGCGCCATTCTACAGAAGAAACTGCCCCCGAAACTCAAAGATCCAGGGAGTTTTACTATTCCTTGTGTTATAGGAGACATTAATTTTGATAGAGTTTTATGTGATTTAGGTGCAAGCATAAATCTAATGCCTTTTTCTGTTTTCAGGAGATTAGGGATTGGTGAAGTGAAGCCGACGACCATATCTTTGTAGCTTGCAGATAGATCCATCAAGCATCCGAGGGGAATAGTTGAAGATGTTTTGGTGAAGGTGGATAAAGTTATCTTTCCTACAGACTTTGTTGTGTTAGACATGGAAGAGGACAAAGAAATGCCTCTCATCTTAGGGCGACCATTTTTGGCCACTAGAAGAGCTCTCATTGATGTGCAAGAGGGAAAGTTGTTGCTAAGGGTTCAAGATGAAACAGTCACGTTCAATGTTTTTGAAGCCATGAAATTTCCATCAGAGTCGGATTCGTGTTTTAGTGTAAACGTGGTGGATAAACTAGTAGTAGAGGCTATTGAAGAGAACACCCCTCAACTACCTCTAGGAGCATGTATTGCCTAATAAAAAACAATAGAGGTAGATGAACCGACGAAGAATGAGTGTGCTAGATTTTTGGAAGCACTTGAGCCGATAAATGCAAGCTAAGATTCAGAATTTGAAGAGTTTGATATTGAGAAAGAGAAGGAAAAGGCAAGAACTGAAGAACCTCCAAAACTTGAGCTGAAGCCTTTACCTTCCCACCTCAAATATGTGTATCTTGGTGAAGCAGAAACCTTCCCAATGATGATCAATTCAAGGTTAAGTAAAGTGGAAGAAGAGCGATTGATTCGGGTGTTAAGGGAACATAGATCATTATGCGTGCCAAAAACTTGCTAAGAATTTCTCAAATTACCAAAGACAATAATGCATCTGTTGAATTTTATGGTGACCATTGTTTGGTAAAGGATAGAAGCAACAAGGTCATTTTGTTGCAAGGGACAATCAAAGATGGCATGTATCAGTTGGCTCTTCCAACAAGTGTTATCTCTACTGCTACTGTTTCAGATTCTTCAAACTTTCCTATTACTCACCGAGTCTCTACCTCGAGCTCATCTGTAGAGCCCTTTCAGGATTCCTGTTTTAATAATGTTGTTTCCAATTAAGTTAATAAAGCATCTGTTTTTCAAACACCATTTGTACTACCTAATCTGCCCTTACTTTGGCATGCTAGACTAGGACATCCTAGTCCTAATTCACTTCATTGTGTACTGAGCAAATTGAATGTAAAGTTTTCTATTGATGACAGTAAGAATTTTGTTTGTGAGGCTTGTGCTTATGGAAAATTATCTCATATGTACTTTTCCTTCTTCTAATTCAAGAGCAAAGGCACCTTTAGAGCTAGTGCACTCTGATCTTTGGGATTCTGCCCCTATTCTTTCTACTAAAGGGTATAGGTATTACATTATCTTTGTAGATGATTTTAGTCGGTATACTTGGATTTACCCTTTAAAACTCAAGTCTGAGGCTTATGGTGTGTTTACTCAATTCCATGTTTTTATAGAAAATCAGTTGAGCACAATGATTAAGTGTCTACAAACTAATTGGGGAGGTGAATTTAGAGCCTTTTCTAAGTGTCTATAGCATCATGGGATCATGTTTAGGCACCTTTATCCCTATTTACACCAACAAAATAGTCGGGTGGAGAGGAAACATAGATCCATTACAAAGTTTGGTCTCTCCTTATTGGCTCATGCTTCAATGCCCTTAAAATTTTGGTGGACAACCTTTACAACATGAACGTACTTATTGAATCAATTACCCTCCTCTGTTCTTGATTACATTTCTCCTTTTTAGTTGTTATTCGATAAGGAACCTTAGTACAATGAGCTCAAGGTGTTCGGGTGTAGCTATTTTCCTTATTTAAGACCTTATCAAAAACATAAGCTTTCATTTCACATTGAAAAATGTGTCTTTCTTGGTTATAGCTTGGCTCACAAAGGTTATAGGTGTATGTCCTCTGTTGGAAGGATTTATACAGTTAAACAAGTAAAGTTTTGTGAAACTGAATTCCCATTTAAAATAGGTTTTTCACAACAATCCTGTGATATTTTTGCACTTGGTTTTGGTCTCTCTTCTTCTTAGGGGTCTTCTTCATGGTTGCTACCTCAGCATACTATTAGTACTTCGAGTGATCATTCTTCCAATCCATAAATTTTCAGTACTCCTTCCTATTCCAGTACTTCTTTTGGCTAACAGGACCAATTAGCTTCCAACAATTCCTCTTCTAGCATGCACACTGATCAACCTCAGCCTGCTCTTCACTCTAAGTCCCTTGATCCTAGTTCTGGAGTTGCAAACTCTTTGGCTCAGCATCATGCTCCTAGTATTCAACTAGAAGTTGTTCTACCATTAGCAGCTCCAACACTGTCTACAGAACCTATTCTTTCTTCTTATACTAAACTCATTCCATGCTTACAAGGTCTAAAGTTCTTAGTTCAAAGCCTCTATCTTATGATTTGTTACTAGCTCAAGCTTTATTGTCTACTCACATTATTCTTAAAGAACCTAAGTTAGTCAAGGAAGCCTTAAGTATCTCTGAGTGGAAATCTGCTATGGAAGCAGAGTATCAGGCTTTGTTACATAATAAAACTAGGGACTTGGTACCTTATGAGGATATCAGGCTTTGTTACATAATAAAACTAGGGACTTGGTAACTTATGAGGAAGGTATACATGTAGTGGCTAGCAAATGGGAGTTCAAAACTAAGCTCAATTCAAATGGGACCTTGCAGAAATATAAAGTCAGGCTAGTTGCCAAGGGTTTTCAACAAACCCCTGGTCTGGACTATTTTGACACATTCTCCCCAGTCGTTAAAGTAGCAACCATCAGGATTATCCTTTCTTTAGCTGTCTATCATAGTTGACAAGTTTAACAACTTGATGTGAACAATGCCTTCTTAAATGGAGAACTCACAGAGGCAGTATACATGCTACCATCTTAGGGATTTGATGTCTATTCTAGTACATAGCAGGTTTGTAAACTAAGTGTTAGGAAACGATCCAGTTACGCAGCAGAAAACAAAAGAATTTAGAACAACGGATCGTTCCTTAGAACCAAGATCATGGTACAAATTTACAGTTTATACATTAAATAAGAATCTGCAGATTTTAGTTTAGAGTTTTAAGAAATCATACACACGTTTAGAGGCTCCTCCAACTTGTCTCTGAACATATTTCTCTACCGACCTAAGTGTAGGATCGAACCGATGTAGTCCACACGAAGATAACCTCAAGGAACTAGAGAGGGATTTGCTAGATCCTCTTTAGCCTTTAAAAACCAAGAAGAAAACAAAGTGTAATTGATTTTAGCAAAAAACCAAAATTGGCGTGAGAGAATGTAAGGGGCTGGAACTTTTCTCTTTCAATAAAATAAATGAGTTAATTCAATTTTTCACAAAGTGTGCACTTATACAGTGCATACTATACTCTATTCCATCATGAAATAGGCTTGGGCTCCAACCCAAACACCCCTTTAAGATATTTTTAATTTTAGTTTATCATTATCTCAATTAAATTCAATTAATATATATTTACAATATATATATATTAACATTTAACAATAATGATAATTTATTTAAATATATGCGAACACATATTTAAATGTAATCTCACTTATTTAATTTTAATATCAAATTAAATAAAGGCTACGACCTCAACAAATTTAATTGCACTGTGAAATTACCAAAATACCTTTTTCGCCTAAAAAGACAAAAACGTCCTTCTTCTAAGCTGGCTCTTAAATTATCTTCTATGTGTGTGACCCATAGGCTCCTCATCATATCGGTAGTGTATAGTATTGCGATTAACACCAATTAATCATCCCACTACACACAAACCAAGATTGGCCCCTAGCAAGGCAACATGGCCACTCGATAGATTCGGATTCAGCAAAGCAGCTACCTGTCAACGATATGGTTACCGTGCAATCTGATCCTTTCATCATCTGTTATCTCGACGAGACCGAGGCATAGAAATAGTGTCAACCTTCAGTTACTCTCAATATTATGTATTCAGTTACTGGACCAATGACCTGTATAATAAACTGGATAGAGCAACAACTAAATCCCACTGTGGCCACAGTTTTAGTGTCATTGTCATTTACTGAATTGCGCTGTGAGATAACTTCTCTCATACCCAAGAGTGATGAATCCTCTATCTATCCACCATAGTCTTGATACACTTCTTGATGCAACCAATCACCACCGTATTGACAGCTCTGAATAGAACTGCGTTAGGCTAGTGTCAAACTACACCAATCGGTGCACAAGGCGCTCCGGTGATCTCAAGTCTAAGGATCACATGCACCACCGTTCGTTAGAGGATTTGTTCCATAGACACTAGGGTCACCATCCATATGGAATCCTCTGGTGGGTCAGTCCAGTGAACTTGCCTACAGCAAGCACTCATGTGTTGCACCAGGTTGTCACCAAACAACCTTGACAAGTGAGATCAGTCACTGCCTTTCGACAGGGTCGTTCAGCACTATGATAGCCTTACCATATTATCTGTGCCCTTACTTCAGAATAATACTGGGGCTACGGACATTTCTAGAATGGCCACCTTATGTGCTCATAGGGTTTTCACTATCAAGATTTAAAACACTTGATACCCTCATCACAGTTCTACCATTCTAAGGACATATATCAATACATACAATGATGATTTACGCGATAGTATAAAAAGTCTTTTATTGACCAATGAACATTATTATAAAGAGTCAATTCTATAATAATTGATTGGCTCTAAGGCACCTACTCTAACACTATGTAAGGCATGATATGGCTTTAAGTAAGCTCCACGGGCTTGGTTTGATAAGCTCAGAAGTACTCTCTTAGCTTGGGGTTTTCTCTATTCTACTTTTGATATCAATCTTTTTTATTACAATAGGGGAACTAATGTGATTTATTTACTTGTTTATGTTGATGACATCTTAGTGACAGGCACTAACTCTCAACTCATTGCTCAAGTAGTTCAAGATCTTAATAGTCAATTTGCTCTCAAGATTTTAGGTGAAGTGAGTTATTTCTTAGGCTTTGAGGTCTACAGAAATAAGTTTGTTTTGTTACTCACTCGGTCTAAATATGCACAAGAATTACTAGCAAAAGCAAACATGTCAAATTGTGAACCTTGTAGTACTCCAATGGCACTTGGCACAAAGCTAGTAGCAGAGGATGGAAAGTATTTTGATCAGCCTACCTTATATCGCAGCATCATTGGAGGTTTGCAATACTTGACTTTATCCAGACCTGATATAGCCTTCACTATAAATAAACTTAGTCAGTTTCTTCAGCAACCTAAAACATCACATTGGACAGCTTGTAATGAGTTCCAAGGTATATTAAGGGAACTATTCAGCATGGTCTTGTGTTTAGACAGTAGAAACACTTTAACTTAGAAGCCTATGTTGATGCAGATTGGGCAAGTGATGTTAATGGAAGGAAGTCCACTAGTGGATATGCTATTTTTCCTAGAGAAAGCCTAGTTCAATGGAGCTCTAAGAAGCAAAAGGTAGTTTCTCTTTCTTCCATTGAGATTGAATATCGCTTTTTAAGTCAAGCTACCACTAAGATGGTGTGGATCCAGCATCTAAAGAATTAGGCATTGAAATCAAACGTGTCCCTGTAATTTGGTGTGATAACATGAGTGTAGAAGCTTCATCTTCTAATCCCATATTTCATGCCAGAACCAAGCATATTGAGATTGATGTGCACTATATAAGGGAGTTGGTTGCAGGAAAACAATTGGTTGTACAATATGTAGCTTCAGAGTTTCAAAAGACTAACATCTTGACTAAAGCCTTATCTGGGAACAGATTTAGTATACTCATGGAGATACTAAATGTGACCTCTATCTTACCCGAGTAAAGGTTTTTGAATGTTGTTGAGGCTCTTTGTTGTGTTGTTTCTTTTCTGGTTTTTATTTATTTATTTATTTATTTGCCTTCGCTGTTAATACTGATGATTTGGTGTTGTTGATGGTTATCTGTTCCATGGCTAATGTTACTTTTGTCAACTCTAGTGGTTAGCTAACATGATGTGATAGTGATCAAGTATATGGAGACACAAGTGTGCAATTAAGGTTCCTAATGCATACTACTGCGGTTTACTGCATTGAAGTGTTGCAGGTCACTAATTGAAATGTTAAGGTTCCCAATGCACCAATAACAGAACAAGATGAATTGCTTTTGTTTTAAAGAGAACATGATGAGATGAAGATAAAGAAAGGAGTTTTGCTTAAGAGGGAATATTAGTATAAGTTGAGCAATGTTGAGAGGATGACAAAGAAGGGACTTTTGCTTAAGAGGGAATATTAGTATAAGAAGAGTAATGCTGAGATGAAGACAAAGAAGAGAGTTTTGCTTAAGAAGGAATATTAGCATAAGATGAGTAATGTAAATACTCAGGACATATTGGTAACTTCACAAGAGTTAGTTTGAGTTATTTTGTAAAAGTTCAGATTTTGTTTTGTTTGTAAAACTTTGTAAAACACAGTGTTTTGGTAATGCTTTGCATTATAAAACATTACTGAGCTGCTCATTTTTGTTCAATGAGAATTTTCCAAAATATGTTCTTAATTCAGTCTAACTAACTTTTCTCTATAATTTTTATACTTTCTTACTGCATTGTCTTTCTTTTTCTCAAACCTCTTCAATAATCAACATGATTTTTAATTAGTATATGCATATACAATAATTATTTATTTAATTAAAACTATTCTTATTAATTTAAACCCTATTGGGTGAGTTTGGCATAGTAAAATATGGTACATGCAAAACTCTAAATATAATTGGTACAACTAATTTTGTTAGACATAGAAGGGAATAAGACCACTCCAAGAGACTAAATCCACAAAACAAGACTTGTATAGAATAATAAACAACTTTAACATCTTCATCTTTTGCTTGTACAGATACCTTTTACAGTCAAATATATATAACAATATTTATATCTTCTTACATTTGGTGAAATTAATTGACGTTTGATATTTTTTTTATGTATACAACACGAATTGTATATTTAGAAATATTTATTATGAAATTATGTGAGGATAGACATCATCTTTCGGAGATAATCGACAAATAATAAATGTTCTTGGTGAATTTACTATTCAATAAAAAGTATAAATACATTAATGGAATTATAAATAACTATATATCACACAATAGACGAAATTGTACTTTACAATATTATAACAAGAGATAAAAAGTATGCGATGAAGATCAATATGTTTGGTTGCTCTCACATATACTTAGGTTAAAATTGGTTTTCCTAATTGATTTTTAAAAGTCTTCCCAGTTGTAAATCTTATATATATATAGTTTTGCTGCAGCCACAACCCTAGCTGGTAGATTATCAGAAGCATTCAAACCAAAAGTGGAACTTAACTCACTCTTGCTAATGCTACATTTTTATAATGTTTTTTAGATGTTTGCATGGTAACAATAACATTACCAAACTCATTAGTTTATTTTTGAAAATCCATTTGGTACCTATTATATTGATTCCTTCTGGTCTGGGTACAAGCGTCCACACATCATTCCTTTCAAATTGTTCTAGTTCTTCTTGCATGGCCTCAATCCAATTTTCATCTTCCAAAGCTTGTTTGGCATTCTTTGGCTTTGCAAGACACATAACAAAAATGGTTAATTTCATTTTGTATTCTCCTTCTTGTAACCATTACTTCATTTGGATCTCCAATCATGGTAGAAGGTGGATAAGCTTTTTGAACCCATGTCGGTGGATCTTTTCTTTTTTGGTTTCTCCTTTGAATGCTTTCATTAGAAAGATCAACAACCAGCTCTATCCCTTCATTTTGCAATGATGAATTAACAATTGATTCTTTGCATAGAGCAAATCTTGTTGCTGTAGCATGAAAAGAAGGTGACAACACATTTAACGAAGGTTTGGGTTCAGGAGATTTAGATGTGTTCACACCATCTTGAGTGGGAACCCGAAGAATAGGTATGTCTTGAATTTCACATTCTTGAGAATATTCTGAAAAAAAGTCTTCTACATCACTAAAAACAACATTAATAGATTCTAAGACTTTTCAAAATGTATATTGTATATCTTGAATGCACGACTATTGGATAAATAACCAATGAAAATTCCTTCATCACTCTTAGAATCAAACTTACCTAAATTCACTGCTTCTGCCCAAAGTCTTGTAGGAAGCTTTTTGGCATTAAGCATCACCCTAGCCATCTCTTGAAGCACTTTGTTTTTCCTTTCCATAACACCATTTTGTTGAGGTTTTTTTGGTGCCAAAAATTCATGGAATATGCCCTACAATGCACAAAAGTTACCAAAATTAGCATTCTCAAATTCCTTTTAATGATCACTCCTTATCCTCACTATCTTTGTAACTTTAAAACTCTTCTCAACAAGCAACCTTTTGGCCAATTTATGAAATGCATTGAATGAATCAGATTTCTCACGTAAAAAATCAACCCAAGCATACTTTGAAAAATCATCAACACAAACAAACACATACCTCTTACCTCCCAAACTCTCGGTTTGCATATGACCCATTAGATCCATATGGAGCAATTCCAAAACACATGAGGTGTTGAGATTAGATAAAGCTTTATGAGATATCCTGGTTTGTTTACCTTGTTGACATGGACCACACTCATTACCTTTTGGAAGTTCAAGTTTTGGTAGTCCTTTATCTGCTTCCTTCTTTGAGAGTCTCACCAAGTCCTTGAAGTTCATGTGACCAAGGTTCTCATGCCATAAGTTTGTTGGATCTGTTTTAGAACTAAAATAGGACACATGGTTAGAAAGCAAGTAACAATTGTCATTTGACCCCTCAAGTAAAGAAACACCTTTGCCATTCAAGATTTGACACTTGTCCTTTGAGAATTGAACCACAACATCTTTGTCATAAATTTGATTAATACTAATCAAATTAGCTTTCAAACCATCAACAAGTAAGAAATCTTTCAAAATAGGAAAATTAGGTAGCACAATCGACCCTTTGCCAATAATTTTACCTTTCTTTCTATCTCCATAAGTGACATGTCCACTATCAATCGATTCAAGTTCAGTCAAAAGAGATTTATTACCTGTCATATGCCTTGAACAACACTGTCTAGATACCAAAGATCATTTTGAAATGCAAGCAAAGATGTATTAGACACAAAACAGTTCACATCAACCTTAGGTTTCCAAACTCTTTTGGAAGAAAAACCATTGTTAGCATTATGAGTTACATTAGCAACAAATCTATGGTTTTTTTAAAACTTTCTTCAAGTAAGCAATGAACTTGAAGCATCTGATGTGACCTTTCCTATTAAAAAAATGGCAAGTAGGAATGAATTTTGTTACCTTCATAGCCTGTCTCACAGTAGTGCCCTCAACAAGAGCTTTAGTGGCCTTCACAAACATGCTCGCACCAGCTTTTGATGTGCTAGCACCAGAACTGAAGGCTAAACCATATCGATCTCCGAATGGTTTTCCTTGACCAAGCACTTCATCAAGCTTAAGAGAGAACCTGCATTCAACTTATCAATCATGGTCTTAGCCTCAGTTAAGAACAACAATCTTTTTGGACAAGGCTTTCTTTTGTTTCAACAAGGTAGCAGTCTCAATACTAAGAGATTGTAACTTTTTCACAGCTTTTAGCCATTGGTTATACATTTTATCATATGCCTCTTGTTGTTTAGCATAGATATCAACAGTGTCATCAAAAACCTTACTCTTAGCATCTTCTTGATTTACGGTAAGGGCCAAAACATTCTCATTATCACCCGAATCATCATGCACACTCTCATCATGCACACTCTCACTCAAAATGGCAGCCATGGCTTTACCTTTCTTCTTTTTTAGTATGTTAGCACACTCAAATTGTATGTGCCCGAAGCCCTCGCATTCAAAACACTTGATACCTTTATTTTTCTTTTCTTTATTTTTTGAAAATTTCTTTATAAAGGTACTAAGGGTTTGATGGTCATAAGACTTTTTCAGAAAAGGTTTTTGGACATAACCACTAATATGAGGCCTTTTCATGTTTTTCTTTAAAAACTTTGCAAAATTCTTTGTACATAAAGCACAATTTTCATTATCCAATGAACTTAAATCACAATCATCAAAAGGATTAGAATCAAACTCATGTTTGAGAGCCAAACCTTTGCTCGGTTTCTATTTTTCCCAGCGTTGCAGATTCAGCTCATAGGTTTGGAGAGAGCCCGTGAGTTCATCAATGTCCAGAGCATCTCCATCTCGGCATTCTTCAATCGTGGTGACCTTTGACATAAACCTCCGAGGTAAAGAGCAAAACACTTTCCTAACAAGTTCAGCATTAGAATTGTTCTTCCCAAAGCAAAGCATTCATTAGAAATATCACAAACTCTACCATAAAAATCAGTTATAGTCTCATCCTTTTCCATGTTCAGATTTTCAAAATCAGTGACAAGTTTTCTAAGCCTATTTCTTGTAACAGTACTAGTGCCTTCATTTTTTACTTGAAGCATATCCCAAGCATCTTTAGCAAGCTCACAATCAGCTATGACTTTTATTTGATTCACATTAACAACGTTAAAAAGAGCATGAAGGGCTTTAGAGTTACAATTTGTAACAGTTATCTCATCAGCAGTC